CCTTGTATCCCATCTACCTTTTACTCTCAGTGTAGCTATATAGTGTAGGTATATAGAACAAAAGTCAGAGATAAGATAGGTCCCCTTAAAAATAACTATGGGCATCTTACTGACAAAGAGAATGAAATGTGGTCGATTTTAAATAATTATTTTCTCTCGGTTTTTACACAGGAAGACACTAATAATATTCCGGTAATAAATTTTTATAGTGGGCCAGAAGAAGATAAATTATGTAACATCACAGTCACTAGTGAAATGGTTGTGAAGCAGATAGACAGACTGAAGCAAAATAAGTCACCGGGTCCCGATGAGGTTTTTTCAAGAGTTCTAAAGGAATGCAAAATGGAAGTCTGTGAACCATTAACTAATATTTTTAATTTATCTCTTCAAACAGGTGTAGTGTCTGATATGTGGAAGATGGCTAATGTAATTCCTATTTTTAAAACAGGGGACAAGTCGTTACCGTCAAATTACCGCCCAATAAGCCTGACCTCAATTGTAGGCAAATTACTAGTCAATTATAGCTCAAATTATAAGAAGCCATCTTGATAAGCATAGCTTGATTAATGATACTCAGCATGGATTCACAAGAGGCCGGTCTTGTCTAACTAATTTATTAACTTTCTTCAGTAAAGCTTTTGAGGCTGTTGACCACGATAAAGAATTTGATATTATTTACTTAGATTTTAGTAAGGCATTTGATAGAGTTCCGCACCAAAGACTGTTGAAGAAAGTAGCAGCTCATGGCATTGGGGGAAGGGTGCTCTCGTGGATCGAATCATGGCTCACAGACAGGAAGCAGAGTGTGTCCATAAATGGGGTTAAATCCGAGTGGGGATCGGTAACAAGTGGCGTTTCACAGGGATCAGTCTTGGGCCCGTTGTTGTTTATAATATATATCAATGATCTTGATGAAGGAATTACTAATGATATGAGCAAATTCGCCGATGACACGAAGATAGGTAGGATAATTGATTCAAACGTAGATGTTAGGGAACTTCAGGAGGATTTAAACAAACTCTGCTCTTGGTCAGAAAAGTGGCAGATGCAGTTCAATGTAGATAAATGCAAGGTTCTGAAGCTCGGGAGTGTCCATAACCCTAGCACTTATAAGTTAAATAATGTAGAACTTAGCCATACAGATTGCGAAAAGGACTTGGGGGTAATGGTAAGCAGCAACCTTAAACCAAGACAGCAATGCCTAAGCGTACGTAATAAGGCAAATAGATTACTGGGATTTATATCAAGATGTGTAAGCAACAGAAGTCCAGAGGTCATACTGCAGCTTTATACATCATTAGTAAGGCCTCACCTAGATTATGCAGCTCAATTCTGGTCTCCATATTACAGAATGTACATAAATTCGTTAGAAAACATTCAGCGTAGGATGACTAAATTAATACATAGCATTAGAAATCTTCCTTATGAAGAAAGATTGAAGACTCTTAAGTTACATTCACTTGTTAGACGAAGAATGAGGGGAGACCTGATCGAAGTGTATAAGTGGAAGATAGGTATTAATAAAGGGGATATTAACAAGGTCTTGAGGATATCTCTCCAAGAGAGAACCCGCAGTAATGGATTTAAATTAGATAAGTTTAGATTTAGAAAGGACGTAGGAAAGTATTGGTTTGGAAATAGGGTAGTTGATGAGTGGAACAGTCTACCTAGTTGGGTTATTGAGGCTAGGACTTTGTGTAGTTTCAAATTTAGGTTGGATAAGTACATGAGTGGGAGGGGTTGGATTTGAGTGGGACTTGCACATCGGAGCTTGTTTCTTGGGTGGCATTGAAAATTGGGTTGGTCAAATGTTTGTTAGTGGGATGAATTGTAAAGGACCTGCCTAGTATGGGCCAACAGGCCTGCTGCAGTGTTCCTCCTTTCTTATGTTCTTATCTCATTTCATGGATTAAACCTGATTGCCTCCCATTTTCCAGATTCCCGTGAAATATATATTGTAATAGACTGCTAGTAAGGATCTCTGTGGGAAGCTGAAGGATCTGCTGATGGGGAACTGAAGGAGCAAAAACTATGTTTGCAAAATACTGCAGGAAAATAAGGATAACCGAAGGCGTATTGCAGATGTACTGGAAAACAGTGGACACAGGATATATATTTCTTTTTGTGTATATATGCTGAGAGTTCAGTTTAATCTATATTTCAGGGATAAAAATATTTTTTTTCTGGTGATAAGGTTCGTGTAGCCTTAAGGACTTTCGTGTAATCAATTGGCTTTACGTCTCATTGACCACCCTCAACATGGCTTTGTCTAGGCAACTTTTCTCGCTCTATAGAGCTTTATGAAATCAATTGATGAAGCTCTACACAGAAACATTGTCACAATGAAACCTTACTTTTCACTTTCTTCCTATTTTTTTTAAGTCAAGGATAACCAGCCTTAATTGTCCAGTAGGTGACTAATTGAATTCACTAGGCAGCAGATCAACAGTGCTGTGACACCTGTGATGGAATTAGCAGATGTCTGGGTCCCAGAGGCGGAACCTCCAAAATGAAGCTAAAAACTAGATGGCGTCTCGGTCTCTCTTGGATAATTATAGTCTGAGAGTTACACGATAACAACGGTTCTAGTTTTACTGTCAAATTTGTGTGGTTTAGCTGAGAATTGTTCCATGAAGAGTGCTGTGTTGTGGGCTCATATATGAATTGTTCCATCCAAGGTGTTGTTGATGGTTAATAGTGAATTGTTTAGGCAGGGTGATGTGACTAACTCTTCTGAGAGGACCTATTAGTGAATATTACACCGAAGCTAAACCGCTCTGAAAGAAAAGAAAACGAAGAATCCCGACAGATGTGGTAGAATAAATATACTTTAAAACGAGACTTATTTACACAGCATTTCGCTTATGGGTGAGCTATTTACAGCGCCATCACTTGCAATAGCTTACTTGTGAACGAATTCTTGAGCAGGTAAAGGTCATGCGATACGACCATACTGAACCTGTCGTCGGAGGCTCACGTAAACACAGGGAGTTAATCAGGTGTGCTCTCTGTGACTAGTTAATGGTCCAAGTCGGACCGAAACGTCGTCACGAGTGTCATTCTCGTAGATGTGGGTTGTTTATATATTTAGGAGTGCTCTCTCACGCGGCACCAACATTGTATCAGTCGTTCTGAAGTGACACCTTCAAGTGGGTGACACCTTCAAGGAAGATGTCTTGATGCCGTTGAAGAGCAGCTACCCTCTCATTTTTCTTAGATCCTCTTCCCTTTCCCCGACGCTGCTTACTGTAGCTTTCTCATGTGCATGGAATAGGCTCGCCAGAGAGATAGCAATTCCTAAGTGACAATAACTCCAGTTCTGATGGAACGGAGCTTTTGATGGCCCCATAACTTACGAACTCTTGCTGAAATTCAACTATGCTGAGTGCCCTGCTGAAGAGTCCAGATGAGGCTGACACATTTCTTCACCTTGTATGAGCCGCATCTTGCGTGATGGAATATGAAAGGGCAACAACTTTTGTTGCCACTGCATAATTGTCATATAGAATAGTGTAGCAGCACACTGATGATGTATCTAATTTTGCTAAATTAAAAAATACAGGGTCGCCTAAACGCGAAGTACGCCAGTTCATGCTGGCAAATATCACATACTGTACAGTATACAACCCTTTCTGTGTGATGTAATATGACAGAAAATATAGTCTTTGCTCCCACTGTGTAACTATCATATAGAAAAGAGTAGCAGCACACATCTGCAATTAAAATTAACGTTAGTGATATTTAAGCTAATTGTGCATAGGGAGAGTGGCCTCTTTTGACGGGTGCTACTCTTTCCACAGGGTGCTTGCATCTTGTTTCTCATAAATGGTTGGGATATTTTCCCTTTCATCTGAGCCCGCTAACACTTACGGTTAATAACACAACGAATTATAAATATGGACTGTGGAACGTGAAATACTAACTCTGACAAGTTTTACATATTTAACGAGTATGATTTCTGTCGCGTGAAAGAGAATTGACCACGAAAGTAGTAGGTGCTTTTTTAATAACCAGAAAGTACATTTCTTTAGGTTGAACCTGATTGCCTCCCAGTCTCAGGTACTATATGACATACGGATTTAGCGCTTCCTTGAAAATTAAAATAATAATGTAATAAGAAGAAAATATTAATAAGTGAAAGAGGTCTCCTGATCAGTTCCGAGTATTCCTTTCACAATGTTCCTTTCACAATGTTCCTTACACAATGTTCCTTACACAATGTTGTGACAGGATAATATATATGAGTTAACGTCACTTATATATACAGCGTTGGTATAGATAAGAATAACATTGTACAACACATCAGGTGATACGGTACATTTTTAATAATATAAATTGATTAGCCTTGGAAGGTTATGTAAACAAAAGCTCAGACCAGCGAATCATCATATAACTTAGACCCGTGTTAGGAAACACTTGTCCTGTTTCCTGACTGATAAAGCACCTGTAACTCTGTACCAGGAATTAGGATTGCGGACACGCACACTCATGCCTAGTAGTGGAAGTTCTGAGTTGGAGAGGAAGTCAACAATGACTGCAGTATTGCTGAGTGACGTCACTAATCACCATGCACCTCAGCTCTGCTGTTGGCTGGTTATTTGTAGTTTGTTATAGATAGAAGTACCTTCTTGGAGTCAGTCCATCTTAGCTCGTGGAGTCAGTTCCCCATCATAGCTCGTGGAGTCAGTCCGTGAAAGTTTCACTCAGGAACATGTAGAGTGCCTGAGAGTGCCCCATCCTAAAGATGCTACTGACCTCTGTCTATTGTCATCCCCCTTCTTTTTCTACTACCTTATTTTCGTTACACACACAAAACCACACACACACACACACACACACACACACACACACACACACACACACACACACACACACACACACACACACACACACACACACACACACACACACACATACACACACTATCCAAGCTGGTAGAGACTTACATTTCTTATGCAGGTCAACTAAATTTCGTCTCCCGTCTCTCCTTCCTGGCACAGCTTGGAGAAGTACAGTGTAGTGGCAGTGAGAGCCAAGGTCTCGGTGGAGGTGGAGCAGCGAAAACGTCTTGGCACTTGGGCCAAACGGGTCCTTGCCTTTGAGGGAGCACATCTACCCCTACAAGAAAAAGGGAAAGCACGTTTAAAAAAACATTTTAACTGTGGTTGTTGAAAGTTCATTTTGCATTGGGTTTAAGGGATAAGGAAAATTTTTTTTCCTAAAACACCCTAGCCCTTTTAAATACTTTTACCCACTTTTAGAAAAAGATGTTCAGGGCGGTCGAAGAAGTTTTTTATAGGAATTTAGCATTTTAAAGAGATTAAAGTGGTAATGAACACGCCCTTTTAAAAAGAAAAAATGGAGACTCAAACAGTGCGCCTGGTGCATGCCCTTTTTTAACCCGGTTGATTTTTGTTTTGAGATTTTTTAACATCATTTTGGGATTTTTTTTTATACCGGACAGACTTTTTATAGCAACGTATTTTAAGGAGCTGTTTTCCCGCTTTTTCGTTCGACTTGAAACTTTCGTGGGTTGTAAAACGGAAAACCCCATCACTAGAAATTTTTTAGCAAAAAAAAGACGCAAATTTTTCAAACAAGCCATCTTTGGACAAATTTCACTAGAAGCTTTTGCAGCAAAATGTTGAGCAAATAAAAAGATGATAAACTTGTGTCTTGTCCCACACATCAGGAGGGGTTCAGCCCCACCTACCCGCGTAACCACAGACAGGAGGGGTTGCGGTTCCCACCACCCCCTGAAACCCACACATCAGGATGGGTCAGCTTCCACCTCCCGCTGTAACCACAGACGGGATGGTTGCGGTTTCCCCACCTCCCCGCTGTAACCACACATCGGATGGGTTGCAGCTTCCCCCCCCCCCCCCCCACCCCTGAACCCAGTCAGGATGCGTTGCGGCTTCACCTCCCGCTGTAACCCACATCAGGATGGGTTGCAGCTTCCCCCTACCCCTGAAACCACAGATCAGGGGGTTGGGCCCCCTTCCACCTCCCCGGTAACCCATATAAGGTGGGTTGCAGTTCCCACCTACCCGCTGAACCACATTCGGAGGGGTTTGCAGCTTCCCCCTACCCCGTAACCACGACAGGATGGGTTGCGGCTTCCACTCCCCCGCGTAACCACATATCGGGATGGGTTGCAGCTTCCACCTACCCGCTGAACCACAATCAGGGGGGTTGGGCTTCCACCTCCCCCTAAACCACTTTTCGGAGGGTTGCAGTTTTCCACCTACCCGCGTAACCACATACGGAGGGGTTGCGCTTCCACCTCCCCGCTGTAACCCAGATCGGGGTGGGTTGGGGTTCCAACCTACCCCTGTAACCAAGTCAGGTGGTTGCGGCTTCCCCCTACCAGCTAAAACCCACATATAGGAGGGGTTGAGTTTCCCACCTACCCCTGAAACCCACACACGGGATGGGTGCGCTTCCCCTACCCCTGTAACCACACATCGGATGGTTGCAGCTTCCACCTACCCACTGAACCACACATCAGATGGCTGCAAGCATCCACCTACCCGCGTACACACACATCAGGATGGGTTGCAGCTTCCACCTACACCGCTGAACACATATCAGGATGTTGCAGCTTCCACCTACCTGTAACCACACATCAGATGGTTGCAGCTTCCACTACCCGATGTAAACCACATCAGGATGTTGCAGCTTCCACCTACACCGCTGTACCACACTCAGATGGGTTGCGCTTCCGCATACCCCTGTAACCACATCAGGATGGTTGCAGCTTCACTACCTGCTGTAGCCACATTAGAGGGTTGCAGCTTCACCAACCCGCGTACCACTCAGGATGGGTTGCAGCTTCCACTACCCGCTGTAACCACACATCAGGATGGTTCAGCTTCCACACTACCGATGTAACTCATCAGATGGGTTGCAGCTTCCCACCTACCACAGTGAAACAAAATTTTCAGGATGGGTTGCAGCTTCCACCTACCGCTGAACCACACATCAGGATGGGTTGCAGCTTCACTACCCGCTGTAACCACATCAGGATGGGTTCAGCTTCCACTACCCGCTGTAACCACATCAGGATGGTTTCAGCTTCACCTACTGCTTGAACCACACATCAGGATGGGTTGCAGTTCCACCTCCCGCTGTAAAAACATCAGGATGGTTGCAGCTTCCACCTACCCGCTGTAACCAAACTCAGGATGGGTTGCAGCTTCCATACCGCTTAACCACACATCAGGAATGGGTTGGCACTTCCGCCTACCCGCTGTAACCACATCGATGGTGCAGCACTGTACTTACTCCCTGAGCTGCACATTAAGATTGGTTTGCAGCTCCACCTACCCTGTAACCACATCAGGATGGGTGCAAGCTTCACCTACCGCTGTATCACATCAGGATGGTTCCACTCCATACTACGTAACCACACATCAGGATGGGTTCACTTCCCCTTCCCGCTGTAACCACACATCGGATGGGTTGCAGCTTCCGCCTACCCGCCGTACCACATATCAGTTGGTGACAGCTTCCACCTACCGCTAACAGCCATCAGGATATGTGCAGCTTTCACTCAACTCCGCTGTAACCAATCAGGATGGTTGCAGCTTTCCACCTACCCGCTGTAACCACATCAGGATGGGTTGCAGCTTCCACCTTCCCGCCGTAACCACACATCAAGATGGGTTGCAGCTTCCACCTACCCGCTGTAACCACATCAGGATGTGTTGCAGCTTCCACCTACCCGCTGTAACCACACATCAGGATGGGTTGCAGCTTCCGCCTAGCCGCTGTAACCACATCAGGATGGGTTGCAGCTTCCACCTACCCTCTGTAGCCGCACATTAGGATGGGTTGCAGCTTCCACCTACCCGCTGTAACCACTTCAGGATGGGTTGCAGCTTCCACCTACCCGCTGTAACCACACATCAGGATGGGTTGCAGCTTCCACCTACCCGCTGTAATCACATCAGGATGGGTTGCAGCTTCCACCTACCTACTGTAACCACACATCAGGATGGGTTGCAGCTTCCACCTACCCGCTGTAATTACACATCAGGATGGGTTGTAGCTTCCGCCTACCCGCTGTAACCACATCAGGATGGGTTGCAGCTTCCACCTACCCGCTGAAGCCACACATTAGGATGGGTTGCAGCTTCCACCTACCCGCTGTAACCACATCAGGATGGGTTGCAGCTTCCACCTACCCACTGTAACCACACATCAGGATGGGTTGCAGCTTCTACCTACCCACTGTAATCACATCAGGATGGGTTGCAGCTTCCACCTACCCACTGTAACCACACATCAGGATGGGTTGCAGCTTCCACCTACCCGCTGTAACCACACATCAGGATGGGCTGCAGCTTCCACCTACCCGCTGTAACCACACATCAGGATGGGTTGCAGCTTCCACCTACCCGCCGTAACCACACATCAGGATGGGTTGCAGCTTCCACCTACCCGCTGTAACCACATCAGGATGGGTTGCAGCTTCCACCTACCCGCTGTAACCACATCAGGATGGGAAGCTTCACCTACCCGCTGTAACCAACTCGGATTTTTGCAGCTTCCACCACGCTGTAACCACATCAGGATGGGTTGCAGCTTCCACCTACCCGCTGTAACCAACATCAGGATGGGTTGCAGCTTCCACCTACCCCACTGCAACAACACATTCAGGATGGGTTGCAGCTTCCACCTACCCGCTGTAACCACATCAGGATGGGTTGCAGCTTCCACCTACCCGCTGTAACCACACATCAGGATGGGTTGCAGCTTCCACCTACCCGCTGTAACCACACATCAGGATGGGTTGCAGCTTCCACCTACCCGCTGTAACCACACATCAGGATGGGTTGCAGCTTCCACCTACCCGCTGTAACCACACATCAGGATGGGTTGCAGCTTCCACCTACCCGCTGTAACCACACATCAGGATGGGTTGCAGCTTCCACCTACCCGCTGTAACCACATCAGGATGGGTTGCAGCTTCCACCTACCCACTGTAACCACACATCAGGATGGGTTGCAGCTTCCACCTACCCGCTGTAACCACATCAGGATGGGATGAAGCTTCCACCTACCCGCTGTAACCACACATCGGGATTTGTTGCAGCTTCCACCTACCCGCTGTAACCACATCAGGATGGGTTGCAGCTTCCACCTACCCACTGTAACAACACATCAGGATGGGTTGCAGCTTCCACCTGCCCGCTGTAACCACATCAGGATGGGTTGCAGCTTCCACCTACCCGCTGTAACCACACATCAGGATGGGTTGCAGCTTCCACCTACCCGCTGTAACCACACATCAGGATGGGTTGCAGCTTCCACCTACCCGCTGTAACCACACATCAGGATGGTTGCAGCTTCCACCTACCCGCTGTAACCACACATCAGGATGGGTTTGCAGCTTCCACCTACCCGCTTGTAACCACACATCAGGATGGGTTGCAGCTTCCACCTACCCGCTGTAACCACATCAGGATGGTTGCAGCTTCCACCTACCCCACTGTAACACACATCAGGATGGTTGCAGCTTCCACCTACCCGCTGTAACCACAATCAGGATGGTTGCAGCTTCCACCTACCCGCCTGTAAACCACACATCAGATGGGTTGCAGCTTCCACCTACCCGCTGTAACCACACTCAGGATGGGTTGCAGCTTCCACCTACCCGCTGTAACCACATCAGGATGGTTTGCAGCTTCCACCTACCCGCTGTAACCACATCAGGATGAGTTGCAGCTTCCACCTACCCACTGTAACAACACATCAGATGGGTTGCAGCTTCCACCTACCCACTGTAACAACACATCAGGATGGGTTGCAGCTTCCCCTACCTCGCTGTAACACATCAGATGGGTTGCAGCTTCCACTACCTGCTGTAACCACACATCAGGATGGTGCAGCTTCCACCTACCCGCTGTAACCACACATCAGGATGGGTTGTAGCTTCCACCTACCCGCCGTAACCACACATTAGGATGGGTTGCAGCTTCCACCTACCTGCTGTAACCACACATCAGGATGGGTTGCAGTTTCCACCTACCCACTGTAACAACACATCAGGATGGGTTGCAGCTTCCACCTACCCGCTGTAACCACATCAGGATGGGTTGCAGTTTCCACCTACCCCTGTAACCACATCAGGATGGGTTGCAGCTTCCACTACCCGCTGTAACCACATCAGGATGGTTTGCCAGCTTCCACCTACCCGCTGTAAACCACACATCAGGATGGGTTGCAGCTTCCACCTACCCGCTGTAACCACACATCAGGATGGGTTGCAGCTTCCACCTACCCGCTGTAACCTCACATCAGGATGGGTTGCAGCTTCCACCTACCCGCTGTAACCACACATCAGGATGGGTTGCAGCTTCCACCTACCCGCTGTAACCACACATCAGGATGGGTTGCAGCTTCCACCTACCCGCTGTAATGACATCAGGATGGGTTGCAGCTTCCACCTACCCACTGTAACCACACATCAGGATGGGTTGCAGCTTCCACCTACCCGCTGTAACCACATCAGGATGAGTTGCAGCTTCCACCTACCCGCTGTAACAACACATCAGGATGGGTTTAGCTTCCACTACCCGCTGTAACCACACTCAGGATGGGTTGCAGCTTCCCCTACACGCTGCAACCACCACATCATAGGATGGGTTGCAGCTTCCACCTACCCGCTGTAACCACACATCAGGATGGGTTGCAGCTTCCACCTACCCGCTGTAACCACATCAGGATGGGTTGCAGCTTCCACCTACCCGCTGTAACCACACATCAGGATGGGTTCCAGATTCCACCTACCCGCTGTAACCACACATCAGGATGGGTTGCAGCTTCCACCTACCGCTGTAACCACACATCAGGACGGTTGCAGCTTCCACCTACCCGCTGTAACCACATCAGGATGGTTTGCAGCTTCCACCTACCCGCTGTAACCACATCAGGATGAGTTGCAACTTCCACCTACCCACTGTAACAACACATCAGATGGGTTGCAGCTTCCACCTACCCGCTGCAACCACATCAGGATGGGTTGCAGCTTCCACCTACCCGCTGTAACCACACATCAGGATGGGTTGCAGCTTCCACCTACCCGCTGTAACCACACATCAGGATCTGTTGTAGCTTCCACCTACCCGCCGTAACCTCACATCAGGATGGGTTGCAGCTTCCACCTACCCGCTGTAACCACATCAGGATGTGTTGCAGCTTCCACCTACCCACTGTAACCACATCAGGATGGGTTTCAGCTTCCACCTACCCGCTGTAACCACATCAGGATGGGTTGCAGCTTCCACCTACCCGCTGTAACCACACATCGGGATGGGTTGCAACTTCCACCTACCCGCTGTAACCACACATCAGGATGGGTTGCAGTTTCCACCTACCCACTGTAACAACACATCAGGATGGGTTGCAGCTTTCACCTACCCGCTGTAACCACATCAGGATGGGTTGCAGCTTCCACCTACCCACTGTAACAACACATCAGGATGGGTTGCAGCTTCCACCTACCCGCTGTAACCACAAATCAGGATGGGTTGCAGCTTCCACCTACCCGCTGTAAAACGCATCAGGATGGTTGCAAGCTTCCTCCTACCCGCTGTAACCTCACATCAGGATGGGTTGCAGCTTCCACCTACCCGCTGTAATCACACATCAGGATGGGTTGCAGCTTCCACCTACCCGCTGTAACCACACATCAGGATGGGTTGCAGCTTCCACCTACCCTGTAACGACATCAGGATGGGTTGCAGCTTCCACCACCCACTGTAACACACATCAGATGGGTTGCAGCTTCCACCTACCCGCTGTAACCACATCAGGATGGGTTGCAGCTTCCACCTACCCGCTGTAACCACATCAGGATGGGTTGCAGCTTCCACCTACCCCTGTAACCACACATCAGATGGGTTGCAGCTTCCACCTACCCGCTGTAACCACACATCAGGATGGGTTGCAGCTTCCACCTACCCGCTGTAAAACCACACTCAGGATGGGTTGCAGCTTCCACCTACCCGCTGTAACCACATCAGATGGGTTGCAGCTTCCACCTACCCACTGTAACAACACATCAGGATGGTTGCAGCTTCCACTTCCCGCTGTAACCACATCAGGATGGGTTTGCAGCTTCCACCTACCCGCTGTAACCACACATCAGGATGGGTTGCAGCTTCCACCTACCCGCTGTAACCACACATCAGGATGGGTTGCAGCTTCCACCTACCCGCTGTAACCACATCAGGATGGGTTGCAGCTTCCACCTACCCGCTGTAACCACACATCAGGATGGGTTGCAGCTTCCACTACCCCGCTGTAACCACATCAGATGGGTTGCAGCTTCCACCTACCCGCTTAAACCACACATCAGGATGGTTGCAGCTTCCACCTACCCGCTGTACCACATCAGGATGGGTTGCAGCTTCCACCTACCCGCTTAAACCACACATCAGGATGGGTTGCAGCTTCCACCTACCCGCTGTAGCCACACATCAGGATGGGTTGCAGCTTCCACCTACCCGCTGTAACCACACATCAGGATGGGTTGCAGCTTCCACCTACCCGCTGTAACCACACATCAGGATGGGTTGCAGCTTCCACCTACCCACTCTAACCACATCAGGATGGGTTGCAGCTTCCACCTACCCGCTGTAACCACATCAGGATGGGTTGCAGGTTCCACCTACCCACTGTAACAACACATCAGGATGGGTTGCAGCTTCCACCTACCCGCTGTAACAACACATCAGGATGGGTTGCAGCTTCCACCTACCCACTGTAACCACACATCAGGATGGGTTGCAGCTTCCACCTACCCGCTGTAACCACACATCAGGATGGTTGCAGCTTCCACCTACCCACTGTAACACACATCAGGATGGGTTGCAGCTTCCACCTACCCACTGTAACCACACATCAGGATGGGTTGCAGCTTCCACCTACCCGCTGTAACCACACATCAGGATGGGTTGCAGCTTCCACCTACCCACTGTAACCACACATCAGGATGGGTTGCAGGTTCCACCTACCCACTGTAACCACACATCAGGATGGTTGCAGCTTCCACCTACCCACTGTAACCACACACATCAGGATGGGTTGCAGCTTCCACCTACCCGCTGTAACCACACATCAGGATGGGTTGCAGCTTCCACCTACCCACTGTAACCACACATCAGGATGGGTTGCAGCTTCCACCTACCCGCTGTAACCACACTCAGGATGGGTTGCAGCTTCCACCTACCCCTGTAACCACACATCAGATGGTTGCAGCTTCCACCTACCCGCTGTAACCACACATCAGGATGGTTGCAGCTTCACCTACCCGCTGTAACCACACATCAGGATGGGTTGCAGCTTCCACCTACCCGCTGTAACCACACATCAGGATGGGTTGCAGCTTCCACCTACCCGCTGTAACCACACATCAGGATGGGTTGCAGCTTCCACCTACCCGCTGTAACCACACATCAGGATGGGTTGCAGCTTCCACCTACCCGCTAGCGCCACTAACAAGTGCACCTCACTTTCTGCCTAGTTCAGATAATTAAAAAAAAAACTGTGTCTTTTAGAAGCAATAACAAAAGTCAAAGTTATATAAAATTTCGTCAACCTTTGTCCTGTGTAATGTCTTATCTGGTGTAAAATTCAATACTTTTCCTTTTTTTTATTGACTTTGTTTGCACGTGCAGGACAAAATAAATGCGATGTGGCTTAATTTGAAAAGTGGCGAGGAGCCTGCTGAATGACTCCTTCAAGGGTCATGAATCTCTATAGATAACTCTCTTGCTTAGCATACTGACTTCTTACACATTTTACGTATTACACATTCAAGGAATTTATATATCGCGTAATATATTAATAATAATAATAATAACATTATTATTATTATTACTGTTATTACGTCAGTGCTCAGTAATAACCCGCATAGAATCAGAAACTCAGGAGATTAATTGTTTCTGCATAATTCTTCCTTCTCTGGGATCAACTTATATAACAAGCGTAATTTAATTTAGCCTAATTCACCTAAATATTTTTTAGATAAGTTTACAATAATTTAGTAATAAAGAAACACAATGAAATATATATTTTTCGTTAGGTTCAGAATAATATTTGCGAAATTATTGCATACAAAAATTTTCGCTTCCCTTATTCGGAAAAAAGAGCGTTGCTATATAAGCGAAAAAGCACAAGTTTTACCTATTCGGCACGACATATATATATATATATATATATATATATATATATATATATATATATATATATATTTATATATTATTTATATATTATATATATTATATAACATATATTGTATAATTAATATATATATTAATATTTTATATATATATATATATATTATTATATTTATATTATATATATATATTTTATAAAATTATATGGGATTAAGCTTGTACAATTCTACAAGAATGTTAAAAATGTATTTATCATGTGTGGCGCTACACGCACTGGTTGACCTTTCAATGCGTGACACTTCAAGGTCACCTCAGTAGGATTTCCCTGAAGCCCTGAACTGCTTGTGAGCAAAGTCAACAGTCTGGCACTCTTGGTTTCCCTGTTAAGGTTTCTTCACCCTCATACTAGCACTCTTACGATTTCAGTGGCATGATGTTACCCACTCTGAGTGGGTTACCTTTACTACAGCTCTTCCCCACCCATCAGGGTGACGGCGGCAGCGTGGGCGGGTGGGCGGTGGGCGGTGCCGACGTCTACGTAGCTCGTGGCAGCGACTCCACCAGAGATGATGGAAGACACATTCTGGTTGTGTCGCGGCCCCCGGCCTATAAACTCACCTTCTCCTTCAACACCACCTACGAGCAGGCCAGACTCATCCAGGTAGGCCTCTCATCCAGTTGTTTCTCATCCAGGTGATCCTCTCGTCCAGTTGTCGCTCATCCAGGTGAGCCTCTCATCCAGTTGTTTCTCATCCAGGTGATCCTCTCATCCAGGTGAGCCTCTCATCCAGTTGTCTCTCATCCAGGTGAGCCTGTCATCCAGGTGAACCTGTCATCCAGGTGAACCTGTCATCCAGGTGAACCTGTCATCCAGGTGAACCTGTCATCCAGGTGAACCTGTCATCCAGGAAGCTTTCCTGTTTTCCAAACCTTTTACATCAATTGAAATGTAACACGTCCATTTTACCAGCACACCTGACCCCAAATTTACCAGCACACCTGACCACACATTCGCCAGCACACCTGACCACACATTTACCAGCACACCTGACCACACATTTACCAGCACACCTGACCACACATTTACCAGCACACCTGACCCCAAATTTACCAGCACACCTGACCACACATTTACCAGCACACTTGACCACACATTTACCAGCACACCTGACCACACATTTACCAGCACACCTGACCACACATTTACCAGCACACCGGGACCACACATTTACCAGCACTCCTGACCACACATTTACCAGCACACCTGACCACACATTTACCAGCACACCTGACCACACATTTACCACCCACACCTGACCACACATTTACCAGCACACCTGACCACACATTTACCGCACACCTGACCACACATTTACCAGCACTCCTGACCACACATTTGCCAGCACACCTGACCACACATTTACCAACACACCTGACCACACATTTACCAGCACACCTGACCCCAAATTTACCAGCACACCTGACCACACATTTACCAGCACACCTGACTACACTTTTACCAGCACCCTGACCACACATTTACCAGCACACCTGACCACACATTTACCAGCACACCTGACCACACATTTACCAGCACACATGACTACACATTTACCAGCACACCTGACCACACATTTACCAGCACACCTGACCACACATTTACCAGCACTCCTGACACCCCATTTACCAGCACACCTGACCACACATTTACCAGCACACCTGACCACACATTTACCAGCACACCTGCCCCCAAATTTACCAGCACACCTGACTACACATTTACCAGCACACCTGACTACACATTTACCAGCACACCTGACCACACATTTACCAGCACACCTGACCACACATTTACCAGCACACCTGACCACACATTTACCAGCACACATGACTACACATTTACCAGCACACCTGACTACACATTAACCAGCACACCTGACCACACATTTACCAGCACACCTGACCACACATTTACCAGCACACCTGACCCCAAATTTACCAGCACACCTGACCACACATTTACCAGCACACCTGACCACACATTTACCAGCACACCTGACCACACATTTACCAGCACACCTGACCACACATTTACCAGCACACCTGACCCCAAATTTACCAGCACACCTGACCACACATTTACCAGCACACCTGACCACACATTTACCAGCACACCTGACCACACATTTACCAGCACCCCTGACCACACATTTACCAGCACACCTGACCACACATTTACCAGCACACTTGACCACACATTTACCAGCACACTTGGCCACACATTTACCAGCACACCTGACCACACATTTACCAGCACACCTGACCACACATTTACCAGCACACCTGACCACACATTTACCAGCACACCTGACCACACATTTACCAGCACACCTGACCCCAAATTTACCAGCACAACCTGACCACACATTTACCAGCACACCTGACCACACATTTACCAGCACTCCTGACCACACATTTACCAGCACACCTGACCACAATTTACCAGCACTCCTGACCACACATTTGCCAGCACACCTGACCACACATTTACCAACACACCTGACCACACATTTACCAGCACACCTGACCCCAATTTACCAGCACACCTGACCACACATTTACCGCACACCTGACTACACATTTACCAGCACACCTGACCACACATTTACCAGCACACTGACCACACATTTACCAGCACACCTGACCACACATTTACCAGCACACCTGACCACTACATTTACCAGCACACATGACTACACATTTACCAGCACACCTGACCACACATTTACCAGCACACCTGACCACACATTTACCAGCACCCTGACCACACATTTACAGCACACCTGCCACACATTTACCAGCACACCTGACACACATTTACCAGCACACCTGACCCAAATTTACCAGCACACTGACTACACATTTACCGCACCTGACTACACATTTACCAGCACACCTGACACACATTTACCAGCACACCTGACACTACCATTTACCAGCACACCTGACCACACATTTACCAGCACACATGGACTAAATTTACCGCACACCTGACTACACATTTACAGACACACTGACCACACATTTACCAGCCCACCTGAACACACATTACAGCACACCTGACCCCAAATTACCAGCACACTGACCACACATTTACCAGCACACCCTGACCACACATTTACCAGCACACCTGACCACACATTTTACCAGCACCATCCTGACCACACATTTACCACACACCTGACCCCAAATTTACCGCACCATGACCACCAACATTTACCAGCACACCTGCCACACATTTACCAGCACACCTGACCACACATTTACCAGCACACCTGACCACACATTTACCAGCACACCTGACCCACATTTACCAGCACACTGACCACACATTTACCAGCACACTGGCCACACATTACCAGCACACCTGACCACACATTTACCAGCACACCTGACCACACATTACCAGCACACCTGACCACACATTTACCAGCACACCTGACCACACATTTACCAGCACACCTGACCCAAATTTACCAGCACACCTGACCACAACATTTACCAGCACACCTGACCACACATTTACCAGCACACCTGACCCAAATTTACCAGCACACCTGACTACACATTTACCAGCACACCTGACTACACATTTACCAGCACACCTGACCACACATTTACCAGCACACCTGACCACACATTTACCAGCACACCTGACCCCAAATTTACCAGCACACCTGACTACACATTTACCAGCACACCTGACTACACATTTACCAGCACACCTGACCACACATTTACCAGCACACCTGACCACACATTTACCAGCACACCTGACCCCAATTTACCAGCACACCTGACTACACATTTACCAGCACACCTGACTACACATTTACCAGCACACCTGACCACACATTTACCAGCACACCTGACCACACATTTACCAGCACACCTGACCACACATTTACCAGCACACCTGACCACACATTTACCAGCACACCTGACCACACATTTACCAGCACACCTGACCACACATTTACCAGCACACCTGACCACACATTTACCAGCACACCTGACCACACATTTACCAGCACACCTGACACACATTTACCAGCACACCTGACCACACATTTACCAGCACACCTGACCACACATTTACCAGCACACCTGACCACACATTTACCAGCACACCTGACCACACATTTACCAGCACATCTGACCACACATTTACCAGCACACCTGACCACACATTTACCAGCACACCTGACCACACATTTACCAGCACACCTGACCACACATTTACCAGCACACCTGACCCCAAATTTACCAGCACACCTGACCACACATTTACCAGCACACCTGACCACCACATTTACCAGCACACCTGACCCCAAATTTACCAGCACACCTGACTACACATTTACCAGCACACCTGACTACACATTTACCAGCACACCTGACCACACATTTACCAGCACACCTGACCACACATTTACCAGCACACCTGACCCACAATTTACCAGCACACCTGACCACACATTTACCAGCACACCTGACTACACATTTACCAGCACACCTGACACACATTTACCAGCACACCTGACCACACATTTACCAGCACCCTGACCACACATTTACCAGCACACCTGACCCAAATTTACCAGCACACCTGACTACACATTTACCAGCACACCTGACTACACATTTACCAGCACACCTGACCACACATTTACCAGCACACCTGACCACACATTTACCAGCACACCTGACCAACACATTTACCAGCACACCTGACTACACATTTACCAGCACACCTGACCACACATTTACCAGCACACCTGACCACACATTTACCAGCACACCTGACCCAAATTTACCAGCACACCTGACCACAATTTACCAGCACACCTGACACACATTTACCAGCACACCTGACCACACATTTACCAGCACACCTGACCACACATTTACCAGCACACCTGACAACACATTTACCAGCACACCTGACCTACACATTTACCAGCACACCTGACACACATTTACCAGCACACATGACACACATTTACCAGCACACCTGACCACACATTTACCGGCACACATGACTACACATTTACCAGCACACCTGACCACACATTTACCAGCACACATGACTACACATTTACCAGCACACCTGACCACACATTTACCAGCACACCTGACCACACATTTACCAGCACACCTGACAACACATTTACCAGCACACCCGACCACACATTTACCAGCACACCTGACCACACATTTACCAGCACACCTGACCACACATTTACCAGCACACCTGACCACACATTTACCAGCACACCTGACCACACATTTAATCTTGAAACTCTACCCTGAAGACTCAAAGATTCATATTTATCATTATTTCCCCTGCCTCCTGACTCGACAACTTGTACATATAGTCCCTCATGAAAGGTCAGGTGATACATAAGTCTTCTCTCTCTGGTGTTATTCTGTTATAAATCCTGGACTTGAAGACTTACATCTCATTTTTCGTCTGATTTTTTTCGTATCCCTCACCTTCTGTGGAAGAAAGTGTCCACCTGTGTCTTCCCTGACACCTTTGAGCCCCTGACCTTCATGAAGATTCTGTTAGGTCGTCTTCAGGACAAAAGCGCATGTTTTCCTTCCCACTGCTTGAGCATTAATGAGCGGCCGACTGCGTCTTTTGGTTTTATTCTGTGCACACGAGAAACAAATTTTTTTCTCCTTTCTCGTGTTGTTTGTTGTATGTCTGTCTGTCTCTATCTCTCTCTCTCTCTCTCCCTCTCTCTCCCTCTCTCTCCCTCTCTCTCTCTCTCTCTACTTGAGCCACGATACAGATGTCTGACACAGGTGTTCAGGAGCAAGAGCCACGCCTGCACATACACCTGGCACACCTGCTCCTTCACCACACCCAGGGTTCATCAGCAGCTGTTCGCTATGGCTGCCATGTGTCTAGTTTTATTACCTTTTACACTGTGGATGTGTTGTCTCTTTACGATAAACTATAATAGTAACCTTAAAGCCGTGAACAAAAATGTATTTAATTAAATATTCCCCCGAAGAATCTTTAAATGTGACTTAAGATGAGTTACCCCTCAAAAAAATATCTAGATTAATTATGACAAGCTTCATATATTTCCAGTTAATGCTAACTTGATCAAAGAAAGTTAGATGCTTTTATTAATTAAATTCTTTCAAGATATTTATTGTTAACACCAAGTGTTTGTTCCAAGGGTATTCAAAATTTCCAGATGGGAGTAAACATATGTAGTCTGTCCTTCCCCCCCCCCTCCTCTCTCTCTCTCTCTCTCTCTCTCTCTCTCTCTCTCTCTCTCTCTCTCTCTCTCTCTCCCACTCCCACTCCCACTCCTCTTCACTCCCTCTCTCCCCACTCCTCCTCTCCCTCCCTCTCTCTGTCTTTTCCTCTTTCTTCCTCTTCATTTCTCTACCTCTCCCTATTTCTTCCTCCCTGCCTTTCCGACTCTCTATTCCTGCTCTCTCTCCTTCTTTCCCCTCTCCCTCTCTTTTCCCCCTCTCCCTCTCTTTCCCCCTCTCCCTCTCTTTCCCCCTCTCCCTCTCTTTCCCCCTCTCTGTGAAATGTCGAGACTATCCTGTGGTTCTTTAATTCTCCAGTCTTAAGGCCAGCGTTCTTTCACTGTGCTGGAGCTGCTTAGATTCTACACCTAAGGCGAGCAACGACAGGCACTAAAGTAGCAGCAGTAACCTGTGCAGTAGAGTCAGAGAGCTCTGGGCTCTATGTCTGAAGATTAACGGACCAAGAGTTTTAGTCTCGGTATTCCATCCAATATATATAAATATATTTTTCAATATGGAAGACATCATAATAAAACTCGTGATTGCAAATATAAGCAAGAATCCCACGGTGAAAATAGGAAACAAAACCTGAAGATGTGTGAGTAACCACATGAAAGCGATCAAATTTTATTTCATATTTCCTCTGTGGTATTTTTTTCCTATTCAATATTATGTATAAGTCAGAGATTCTAAAAAAATAATCTGTAGATGTTTGTTTCTCTAATCTGAGGGAGACTTATCTCTGCCATATTTATTAAACAGTACTTGATAATTTGATCTAATTAGTACAGATCATTTTGCTGAATTCGCAAAAAAATATGTATAGATATGTTCTATAATTTTGCTAAGATTTTTTTAAAATTTAAATTTACGATTAAAATAAATAAAACTGAGGGTATCGTTCTATATATTATGCAGACTATATTTATTATAAAAGTTAATAGGGGTCAGGTTCGGTTGTAATTCTGACTACCAATACAATAAAATTATTTGCTGTTCACCTTTCTTTTTCATGTCGATGTTGGATCATTTCGAGGATTTATATCATGTATAGTGACTCATGAAGGATTTCTAAACACATGAATGATTTCTAAACACATGAATGATTCCTAAACACATGAATGATTTCTAAACACATGAATGATTTCTAAACACATGAATGATTCTAAACACGTGAATGATTCCTAAACACATGAATGATTCCTAAACACATGAATGATTTCTAAACACATGAATGATTTCTAAACACATGAATGATTTCTAAACACGTGAATGATTCCTAAACACGTGAATGATTCCTAAACACATGAATGATTCCTAAACACATGAATGATTTCTAAACACATGAATGATTTCTAAACACATGAATGATTTCTAAACACGTGAATGATTCCTAAACACATGAATGATTCTAAACACATGAATGATTCCTAAATACATGAATGATTTCTAAACACATGAATGATTCTAAACACATGAATGATTTCTAAACACATGAATGATTTTCCTAAACACATGAATGATTTCTAAACACATGAATGATTTCTAAACACATGAATGATTCTAAACACGTGAATGATTCCTAAACACATGAATGATTCCTAAACACGTGAATGATTTCTAAACACATGAATGATTTCTAAACACATGAATGATTCCTAAACACATGAATGATTCCTAAACACATGAATGATTTCTAAACACATGGATGATTTCTAAACACATGAAACTGTTATCATTTTTTTTCTTTCATTCACAGGCTCTCTCCTCGTCAGGGGCGACCGTCACCGGTCTCGACGCAATTATGCTCCTTAAGGACCTGAGGAAGCAACAGGAGGAGGAACGAAAGGATGAAGAGAGAAAAAAACAAATTAAGGAGCAGACAGGAGCTCTGGAGGAGAGACGAGAGCCCAATAGCACCAGCACGTCACTTGAAAGAGTCGCTGAATACGCGGGGCAAGACGATAGGAAAGCAGAGGAGGACGAGGAGGAAGAGGACGAGGACGAGGAGGATCTTACAATAAAACGTGAGAAGAACATTGATGACGAAGACGAAGAAGATGAGGAAGAGCCAGGGAAAAATATTAATACCATATATGACATAAGTACCGGCGTGGTGAATAATCCCCTCTACTCCTCAAACGTTAACTTGTCGAGCAGTGATGGCGAGAGCGATGCTCCAGCCACCAAAGAAACATTCTTGTTTACCGACAGCCGTAGCAGTAGTAACTCAGAGGTTCCTGTGGCATTACTTACTGAGGTCTCCGTAACCAACCAGAGGTCTAATGAGAACGTTAACCCCCTACCCAAACCGCCACGAGCCGTCTTTGATGAACCAAGATCATCAGCAGATTCGCAGAGTCCTTCTCTGGAAGATGGTAGTCCAGTTACGGTTGATGGTAGTCCTAGAGAGGTTACTGATAATCCCAGTGAAGCTGGTGATAATGATAATCCCACTGAGGTCGGTAGTAATCCCTCTGTGCTTGACAGTATCCTCGCTGAGGTTAGTAGCTCATTTGAGCTTGATAGTAACTCCGTTGCAGTGTGTGGTATTCTTGCTGGTGTTGACAGCAGTCCCACCGAGGTTAGCAGTGGTCCCATTGTTGTTGATGGTAGTTCTGCTGAGGTCGATAATAGTTCCACTGAAACTGATGAAAAACAGAAAGAGCAATTATCCTTTATCAGTGGCAAATACGAGGATGTTATATTCAAACTGGAAGAGAAGGAATGTGTCAGTTCCAGCGAGTCTCTTCTAAGCAGTGATTCCTTTAAGGAGGTGATCACTGGAGAAAATGAAATGGTATCTGAGGCCATAAACTTACTGCACTCCAACACTGAGAGCTCGAAAGAAGGTGAGGGTTTAAGCCAAGTGGAAAGTAAACCTGAAAAGCATGATTTTCAGGATGAATTTGATGAAAAAATCAATATTACAATTGAAAACGGGAAAAACTCTGACGTATTATCAGAAAATGGTCTTGTCTCCGGTGATACATTTAAAACAGAACCCACAGAAGAGTCTTTAAACGAGAGCTGTGCACACCAGCCTGTGAAGATGAAGTTGGAAAGATATTTTTACATTGACTGTGAGGCTCCTCCTCCAGACACCGACTCTCTCGACTTGTACCAGAGAAACAGTTGCGACTCACACCTCGACTCCCCCTCTAGTAGTTCTTCATACCCTTCCAATTCTGGAGAGAGTGGGAGCAACAAGGAAGAGAGTGCGTCGGAGCAAAATAAATCACAGGTTAAATACGACGACACCATAAACCAAGAGTCCAAGGAAAGCGAAATTCACATCAAGAACGTAATACATGACGTACACAGAGACACTGAAAAGATAGAGCAGATATATAATGAATTAAATAATAATACACAAGGAGAGTTGCAAACCGAGAGTTATAAAGAACACGAAATACCAGTATCACCGGTGAATGAGATTCTGGAAAATATCGAAGAACTTGGAGATGAAAATTCTTTGCAAGTCAGCCCTGACAATGTCATGAAAGAAAACGGACATATTGAAGGGGAAGACTTAGTTGATTTTCCCATAGGCTCTCATGGTGAGCAGCAGCCTCTGAGGAGGGTCAACTCAATTATTAAAAAGAAAGGGTCATCTTCCTCTAGCACCGGGTCAGTGAAAAGGGTACAGTTCAACCTGGATATAAAGAGCGAAACACCTCCTCCCTCTGTTGCCTCTGAGCCTTCAGTGAGCACTGCAGCGACGGCAGAAAAGAGCGATGACACACGTTCTGCATCTGCAAGGAAGCCTGAGTCATGCAGTGATACTAGGACTTTGGGCTCATCGAAGTCTCCGACGAGTCCCAAAGCGAGAAAAGAAACATCAGGGACCACTACAGGCTCAAAGAAAATGGATAAGAAAACGTCATCAGCATCCTTGGGATTTCCCTCAAAGAAAAAGGGATCTTCAGACACGACATCTTCATCTCCTTCGAAGAAGACTCCAGATTCTTCCCTCACATCGTCAGCAAAGAAGAAGACGTTTGAGCCATCTAGTACGTCCTCGCCATCCAAGAAGAAGGGAATCTTTTCTTCCATCTTCTCAGGTTCTTCGAAGAGGGCAGACTCCCTGGTGACCAGGGAAGACGCAGAGACCAAGAAAAAATCTTCAGAAACATCAAGTGTGTCTCTCAAGCGATACCAAACAGTAGATCTAAATGCACCGATAATTATCAGTGGTGAGTGACCCATATCTCTCTCTCTCTCTCTCTCACAAACACACACACACACAGGGTTTGACAAGATTAGGTTGGCAATATAAACACAAATGCAGTATAATGTGATCCTTTATTGACTACGTTTCGCCCACACAGTGGGCTTTTTCAAGTCACAAACAGAACTACCTGGGGTGGAAGGAACGCGAGTATTTATAGTCCGGCTGAGGTCAGGTGAAGAATGCTGCATCTGATGATGTACCGAGTTGGGTTGTAGAGTCTAAAAACTTGGGTAGCTTGGAAAGGAGACTGGACAAGTTTGTGAGCAGACCTTCTACAGTGTTCTTATGTGGGATAGCGATGAAGAAGTTTCTTGGCAAGTGGTTCAGCTATGTTATAAAAGCCACTATTCTGGTTGAAGTTGTCGGATATAGAAATAAGTGATGATTCCAGGATTCTTCGGTATTGAGTGTTTTCTTCTGTGGCGATAAGTCTTGAGTTTCTGTAGTTTATCAAGTGGTTGTGTGAATTACGGTGTTGTACGCAGGCATTCCTTGTGTCGTCAGACCTGCTTGCGTATTGGTGTTCTGAAATACGTGTTTGGAGGTCCCTTGATGTTTCACCCACGTATAACTTGTTGCAGTCATTACAAGGGATTATGTATACTCCTGCAGAGGATGGAGGCTTGTCCTGCCTACTACTGGTGATGTCCTTGATGGTCGTGGTTGTGGAGGTAGATACTTGGAATGATGTTTTGGCAAAGATGTTGGAAACATGTTTGGCAATGGAGTTGGTGGGAAGGACTATGTATCTCTTCTCGGCAGTGTCTTCTCTGGGTGTGTTGAAGATGTTTAGTGCTCGCCGTCTGCAGTCTCTGATGAAGTGACGAGGATAGTGGAGTTTGGAAAATACCTGTTCAATTATAGTGCATTCTTCCTATACATGGAACATCTAGAAGCCGAACGTTTCTCCACCATTATTCCTTCGTCTGTCACCTGGCTCCGTTATGTTGACGACATTCTCCTCATAACTCCTAAACGCTTCAACGTTCAAGCTCTCCAAGACAAGCTCAACCAGGTCGAGCCTTCAATCCAGTTCACACTTGAAGAAGAGATCGACAACACTCTTCCTTTCCTTGATGTTCTACTCTGCAAAGCTGACCACGAACTTCGTTTTAAAGTCTA